CCCTGGAGTAAATACTCTTGTTTCCTCATTTTTTAGATAAGGTAAGGAAGGAAGGAAAGGAGGTTAAGTGACTCACCCAAGGTCATATAGCTAGTAGGTGACAGAACCTGGATTCACACCTGTCTCCAGAATCAGTGCTCTATACAGCTTTCCATCTCCTAAATGCCCCAATGGGCATAAATATATAAATACAAAGATGTTTGCTGCAGGAGAGTTGGAAAAATTATGAACAGATGAAACTAATGAAAAGATTTTCAGCATATTTTGTTAAGTAGAAAAAAAGCAAGCTATAGAATATTATAATATCTACTTTAAAAAATACCAGCAACAAAGAATATATGTGAACATAGCAAGTAAGCTCTCAAAAGAGCAGACAAACATCATATGACATCACTTATATGTGGAATCTAAAAAAAGAAAAAAAGATAAAAATTTTGTTTACAAACCAGAAGTAGACATAGAAAATAAACTGTGGTTACAGGGCAGGGGAAGGGAGGGGAGGGATAGATTAGGAGTCTGGAATTAACAGATACACATTACTATATATAAAACAGATAAACAACAAAGACCTACTGTATAGCACAGGGAACTATATTCAATTTCTTGTAATGAGCTTTAACGGAAAAGAAACTGAAAAAAAATATATATGAATATATATATGTATATGAATTGCTTTGCTGTACACCTGAAACTAACATTGTAAATTGACTACACTTCAATAAAAAATAAGAATAAAAAATAGAAAGCAGAGTTTTCACTGTTGTCTTTTTTTTGGTTGGGGGGTAATTAGATTTATTTATTTATTTAATGGAGGTACTGAGGATTGAACCCCGGATCTTGTGCTTATTAAGCACTCACTCTGCCACTGAGCTATACCCTCTCCTCCCCACTGTTGTCTTATTGTCACACAAGAACAGTATCTGGCACATAGCAGATATTGAGTAAATATCTGTTGGATGTATATAAATATATGTAAATACATAGAAAAGGGATTGAAAAGCTGCAGATCACACTGTCAACTGGTCAAGGTGGTCCCCTACCCTGGAAGAAGAAAGAATGGTGTATGTAGGGGGGTAGGATAATGATGGGAAATGTGCACATACTCACTAAACTGTTTCAATCTTATACAAAGACATGATGTTCATGTTACTTGGATAGTAAAAACAAAAACCAAACAGACTTTTTAAAAGCCCCACAACAAAAGCAAAAAAGACTGACTACCTTTCCATTTAATTTCTCTGTAACACTTCAGGTAAGAAACAATATTCTCATTTTATAGATGAGGCAACTAAGGCTCAGAGAGGTTAGGTAACTTGCCTCAAGTTACACAGTTTCTAACCCTGGATGTGAACTTTGACCTGTGGCTCCATGACCCAGATTCCCGTTCCCGCCACTGTTTGTAAATGTACAGATAAGTAAGTGCAACAAAGTGTTGAAAGCTGCAAGCTGGAAGACAGCAGAGGTTGCAATAGTGGCACATTTGGAGAAGCGTGGCCAATCCTACAGAGAGAAGGGATAATTCTAGAAGGGAGTTCAGAGATGAAGCTTGATCTAAGACTTGAAAAGTGAGTTCTTGAACCCCTACTGGGGACAGGCACTTCAGGCGCATACTTATATGTGTATCAATGGATGTCCTGGAGGAGACCATTTGGACTATTTCATGAATCATAAGCAGTTAAGTGAGGATGGCTGGAGCTTCGCTTATTTCTCTAGGTGAGAGGCAGGGCCTGGGAAGATTTGATTTGATTTGTACCAGATGATGAGCTTTGTCTTATCAATGAGCTAAGACTCCCTGGGGTCTATTTGGAAGAGGATCAACCTAGAGGCAAGGAATCCATTCTCTATAGAAACATCATCAAGTAAACAATGCTGGGGATGGGATGCCTGATTAAGATAGTAGTTAGGGACGAACGGATAAGGAAGATGTGGTGTTGTATGCAGTGGAGTGTTGCTCAACCATAAAGAAGAATGAAATAACACCATTTGCAGCAACATAGATGACCTATAGATTATCATATTAAGTAGGGTAGGTCAGACAGAGAAATACACATATTGTGTGATGTTGCTTATGAGTGGAATATTAAAAAAAGAAAAACAAGATAAAAATGACTTATTTACAAACCAGAAATAGACCCAGAGACATAGAAAATAAACTATGGTTACCAAAGGGGAAAGTGGTCGGGGTGGGGGATGGTGGGGAGAGGGACAAATTAGGAGTTTGGGATTAGCAGATAAAAACTACTATACAAAGAATAGATAAAAAACAAGTACCTACTGGATAGCATAGGGAACTATATTCGATATCTTGTAGTAGCTTATGGTGAAAAAGAAAATGAAAACGAATGTATGTATATTCATGTATGACTGAAGCACTGTGCTATACACCAGAAATTGACACAACATTGAAAACTGAATATACTTCAATAAAAAAAGTAAAAAAAATCTTGTAATAACCTATAATGGAAAATAATCTGAGAAATAATATATGTATAACTGAATCACTTTGCTGTACACCTTGTACATCAACTACATTTCAATTAAAAATTTTTAAAAGATAGTGGTTAGTGATATGGAGAGAGAGGAAGGGATGAATCTGAGAGATATTTGTGGAATAAGATCATCATTGGCACTCGATGACTAAATACTGCTGTGAGTGAGGATTGGGGGCAGGGGTCTGAAGAGAGTACAAGTTTGTTGGGGAGAAAACTGGGCACAAGGTCCTTTAAAAAGGGGTCCTTTGAGCAATTATACTTCAATTAAAAAAAAAAAGGATTGCTTGTGTATGCATTTCCTCCTATCTTCCCCAGGATCTGGTGCCCTGTCTCGCAGAGAACATGTTCAGTACTGACTGAAACAACACAGCAGAGAGACTGGCTTTTGGTCTGGGGTGGGACAGGGGAGCAGGGAATGGCTGGGGGTGAATAATCACATAAGCTGGGAGGCAGGAAGTTTTCCAGCCTACTGCCTCCCTCCTCAGCCTCGGTCAGAAGCCTGCCCCAGGGGGGATTGCTCCTATTTCCCCCAAGTCCCTTCCTTCCCTGCCTTTGCCACACAGTGTGATGGATGCTGACTGGCTCAGACCTGGGTGGCTGCAGTGTGCAGAGGAGTGTCTCCCTCAAATTCTGTTACCACCACCCAGAAACGGATTCTAAAAGGGGGCCTCAGGAGAAGCCTCAGACTTCTACTCCCCTGCTCTCAATCACCAAACCTTGAGATGTATGGCAAGAGGTGGCATGTCTTTGGCACCCTGCCACAGGCTGATGTGGCAAGGGAAGCGGGGAGAGAAGGTGTGAACTCCAGCAGAAAGGAAAGGAGGTCAGGAGCCTGAGACTTGGTATGTGAAAGAAGAAAGGAGCCAGGGGGAATTTTAATTATTATTATCTAATTAATTATCTAATTTTTAAAAAACTATTTGTATTAATAAAAAATCATTTAAATCAGAAGAGAGAAGAAAATGAATCTGATATAACTACCACCTGGACTTAACAATTATGAATATTTGCCCTATTTAGGTCAGTTTTTTTTTTAAGTATTTTAGTATAATTTACACACATTATGAGTTAAACCCTTAAATATTCCAATATGCATTGCTAATAAAAACATATTGTTGTATCCATTATCATGCCCCCTAAATTCACAATCACTTCTTAATATCATTCAATACACAGCCCATATTCAAATTTTCCCAACTGTCTCCAAAATGTCTTTTTACCTTTGTTTTGCTCAAAATAGGATCACGTTGCATGTGCTTGTTTTGCCTCTTTAGTTTCTTTTAAGTAAGAGAAGCTCTTCCTCCTCCTTTTCTGTGCCAATGACTTGTTGAAGAAACAAAGTGAGATGCCCTGCAAACTGCTCTACCTTTAGGGGTTTGCTTTATGTTTTCACTTACCTTATTCCTCCAGCCCCCATATTTTCTGCAAACTGGAAATTAGCTCTAGAGACTTCCGTAGATTCAGATTCAATACTCTTGGAAAAAATATTTGTTAGTGTTCTTCACACTACCTTACATCAGAGCCACATAATGTACATGACTGGCCTGGTTCAGGGTCTTTGAAGCTGCTGGAGGAGGCTAAGCCTGAGGGGATCTAGGCATTCAGCCACCTCTGGACCTGACCTGAAAGCTGAGCTCTGAGGGACCCCAGCCTCTGTGGCTGCTGGCCTTAGCAGCACAGAGTGGTTTGAGGTCAGAGAGGGGGCACTCAGAGAAGCATCAGGTTAAGGTTGGCAGCTTGGAGTGGCTCAGTCCCTTGGCAGGATTGAGCAGAGGGTCCTGGGACAGAAATACTACACACGCAGCAGTGCCTCCCTTCAGCCCTGCTGTGTGCACCTTGCAGGAATGAGACTAACCAGACAAAATTCCCCAGGACTGGAGGCAGACTAACCATTCCAAGCCCTGTTTGCTGTCCTGCACTGTCCTCTGTGGAGAGCAGGAAGCCTTCCTTTTTGCTCTGGGTCTTTTGGTGGTGGGCCTGGTGTTGGTGTGGCTCAGAGAAAATTCCTGACTTTGCTAGCTCAGTTTTTCTTGTTCTCAGGCTTCCAGGGTCTGCCTTAAATACTTTTTTTTCCCATTTTATCACTTTTATTTTTTGTTTTTTTAATTGAAGTATAGCCGATTTACAATGTGTTATTTTCTGGTGTACAGCATAGTGATTCAGTTATACATATTATATATGTTCTTTTTCATTATAGGTCATTTACAAGGTATTGAATATGGTTCCCTGTGCTATACAGTAGGACCTCATTGTTTATTTTGTATAGTAGTTATCTATGAATCCTGAGCTTCCAAATTTATCCCTCCCCACTCCCTTTCCCCCCGGTTACCTTAAGTTTGTTTTCTATGTCTGTGAGGAAATACTCCTTGACTGATCGTAAACTTTAGAATGTCAGTGCTGGAAGAAACCTTGTGGATCATCTAGACCAGCCCTTCACTGAAGAATCCTCATTCTCCCTCATCCTTCTTAGAAACAGCTACATGTAAGATGGTGAAACCAGGATGGTACCATGTATTTCCCCAGACTTCAGTCATTCACACTCCACTTCCACCTTCTTATTTTTATCATGATCAGGTTCTCCTTGTTCCGCAGTATAGGGATATTTTTTTCTTCATTCTAACAGTAACACCTCTGAAATGACAGGTTTGATATGTAGTTCAATTTCTTTCCAAAATTTTATTGAAAGCTTACGGAAATGTTCAATGCCCCCATACTTTGGGAAATGCTGGAGTAGAATTAACATCAGTGAGTCCCACCTAACTCTGCCTTGAGACCTTGGTTGGACACACCTCTCAAGTTCTAAATTTATTTCCCCATCAGTAAGAAAGAGACACCATACTATCTACAGGTATTAGTTACTAGCCTGGCTGGGACTGCCTGAAGGTAAGTTCTTCCCGGAAGACGCCCAGGGACCCCTGTCCAGGCACCTCTGATCAGCTGCCGTGGTGGGGGAGGGGAGAAAAGAGAGAAGCAGGCCTGGTAAAGGTTACCTCTAGGCTGGGCATCAACGTCAGGGCAGCGGTGGGAAAACCTCTCTCGGAGGCAAAAGTCTGCGAAGCTCCCGCCCTCTCCCCATCTCCCTGGGCACCCCAAGAAGTCCTGAACATGGTGTTCCAGGGCCTTCCCCCAACAAGAACCACCCACTCGCCCTGGGGACAATGAAAACTTCCGGAAGAAGAGAGAAGTCAGGTGTCAGGCCTCTACGAACTTCAGCTGGCTTCTGGGGCTCAAGGGAGGGAGGGCAAAGCAGGAAGGAGGGGTTTGCGGTTGAGGAGAGCCAGATGGTCCACCCATAGCCGGAAACTGGGGGTGGAGAGGCCCCGGCCCGGCCCACACCAGTCTTCCAGCTCCTTGCTGGGCCCGAGAGGCCGGCAAGCCCCACCCCGCTCCTCTGGGCACCTCATGGCCCTGGCGGGTTTGTTTATGAATGCAACTCCCTCCTTCCTCAGCCCGGCCCTCCGCCCGCCCTTAGGGTGGCCCCAATTCCGTGGGAAGGGGGAAACCGGGCCAGCCCCTAGCCAACCCCCCACCCCGTCCCCCTCCCCTTCCTTCCTCCAGCCGCGGCTGTGGATGCCTGGAGAGGGCAGATCCTTTTTATAGACCTGTTGAGCCTGTCCGGGCCATCCTCCCTTCTGGGAGTGAGAAGCTGGGGGTGGTGTAGCTCTCTCCACAACTCTGGACTCTGGAGGGGACTCAGGGCTTCTTGTCCCAGGAGAGGAAGGAAAAAAGGAAACTGCTTCATTTTTGGTTAAAAGAGGAACTTGTTTTTTCTTTCTAATGCTGAACTGCCAGGCAGGACCCCAGTCACCCTTGGGATGCAGAGGTCCGGGTCCGGGTGGAGTGGGGGTAACTGGTGAGGGTAACTTGGCAGTAAGTAAGCACCCGCTTCCTTCCAGGTCTAGGAGCTGAGGAGCCTGAGGGGTTTGGATGTTTGGGGGAGGGAAATAGTTTGATTACGTGTTCGTTTCAAGCTGGAGTCCCTAGGGCTCAGATTTAAATGTTCAGTGATGCTTTCTGCTAGTTCTAGGCGCCTCTCTTGAGTCTCCCAGGGGGCTCTTCTAGCTCTCAAGAATGCAGATGGATCCTGGAATTTGTTTCTTAGCAGTTTCTCTTCCTCTTCCCCACCATGCCTTAAACCACCTCTCCTTTTATTTGCCAAAGGGTCTTCAAGCTGCAGGGATCATCAGCTGGGTTCACAATCAGGCCTGTCTTCTTGCAGTCCTCTTCAGAAAAGAGAATAACTCAGCTCCTACAATAACTAAATTGTGCTTTTGATGGTGCCTCCCAACTCTCAGAGAAAACCCTTCTCCGCCAGCCTTTCTTCCTCCTCCAGGGCCTTCTCCAGCACCAGAGCAACTGACTAGTTGCCAGACTAGACAAAGGCCTTCCTCTAGTACAAGGTACAGTCTAGGCAGGGATGAACTGTATTGCTTCTCAGATAAGGAAATAAAGCCAGCAAAGATACAGAATGAGTCATTTAAAATGATAATAATAATAAAGAATATCAGTAGCCCATCCTGGATTTCTCATCAGCAGGTTCTGGGCTTCTCAAACAGTAAGAAACCTGACTTGTTAGAGTTCTTTTCTTAGTTTCTTGCCTTTCTAGGGTCCTGAAAAGACTGAGGGATGTGTGTGATGATCCGTCTAGCTGCTCCAGTCCTCACTGCACTGCAAATGACCTTAGCCTGCATGATGTGAAAAATCTAGGCTTGCTTTCTTGTTCAGAGAACTAGAACATGAAGGATTGCAAGACTGCTGAGACTATCTTCTTGTTGGGACTATTTTTCTTTCCTAAGCTCCTTTATCCTAGAGGAGGCAGGACAGGTAAATGAAATTTTAGTGTGTTTTGCTCTGAATAGCTGTAGTTGAAAGCTTACTGAGAGGGAAGATTACAATGATGGTAAAAAGAGGAGAATTTGAATCATTTGTGTATTTTAATTTGTAAAATGTTCACGTTACCAGATTCCTAAGTGGGAAATTGCTAAAAACAAAGAGTAGCTTCAAAATCAGGTTTAACTGGTGAAAGGCAACCAACTGAAGCTGAGCATCAGTCCTTGGCATTGTAATATCTGGAGATACATTCAGGATTTGGGGGACTGGGTTTCCCCTTCCATTTATCAAGTGTTTACTAGGTGTCAACTATATCCCAGGCCTTGAGGATACAAAGTGAAAAGGCATCATCCTCGCCCTCAGATTACTGTGTCTGGTTGGAGAAAATGTGACATTTAGATACCTCTAATGGACGTATGTGAAAAGCATGTGGGGAGGGTATAGATCAGTGGTAGAGCACATGCTTAGCATGCATGAGGTCCTGGGTTCAATCCCCAGTACCCTGATTAAAACAAATAATAATAAATAAATCTAATTACCCTCCACCACAAAACAATCAAACAAACAAAAAGAGCATAGTGGACAGAGTATTCAATAACTGGGAAAGACTTGTAGGAATGTAGGAAAGACTTTATTAGAAATCGTTCTTATTAAAGATAAGAGTTAATGAGCCCAGAAGGAGGACAAGCTCAATGAACTGTGGTTCTGAACTTTGGAGACCCAAGAAAGCATACTTTTGGAGAAAACTTCAACAAAGAACAAACTGAAGGGTAAGAGAGTATAGTGGACAGTTATGGAAGATGATCCTAAATAGGTGCAGGGCAGACCACTGACTGCCACTCTGGAACAGTACTGCTTAAGTGGCTTTGAAGCAAGACAACTCTCAAATCATCCACACTGCTTTTTAAACACAGTCATTAGGAGTTATTTAAGTGATTTCATAAATGGTTATGTAGACAGACTTGAAATAAGTTTATTCTTTGTTTTTTCGTTTTGTTTAGTCTAAAGAAAATTGGTTCAGGTTTTCACAGATGAATTGGGCAAGATGGATCATGTTCTTTTGCTCCTAGGATCTGTCAGTAAACAAGCTTATGTTGAGGACATCCCTGACTAGGCAGGTTCGGAATTCTGTCTTGTCCTGGAGAAGCAAGAGAGAGTACTGTGAAAAGGATGATGGCTCTAGAATTTCTGAGTCTAAATCTAGGCCTTTTTTTCACTACCTGGAATTAAATCAAACCCTAGTTCCCATTGCAGGCTTAGACCAACTTAGAACTGGGGAAAAAACACAAGCTTTGGAACCAAACAAAACATAGTTTAACTGAAGTATCTGAGCCTCAGTTTTCTCATCTGTATAAAAGGATGACAATTTCTTAAAATGGTTGAAACATTAAGTAAGACAATACACGTGATGTGTTCAGAGGACTGCTCCAGAAAGTTAGTTCCTCCTCCCTCCCCGCCTGCCAGTTTGGGTGTGGTCTTTTGCTAAACACACTAAACAGCTGTTGGAATCTCTAGAGCTTGGTTTACAAAGATGAGTAATGCAGTTTCTTCCCTCCAGGAAGTTTCTTTCCTTCTGGAAGTTTCTTCTCTGAGTTTCTTTCTTTCCTGTTTCTTAATCTCTGATTTATAGACTAATGGAAGAGCTACTTTAAAATGCATATTCTCAAGCCCCACCCGAGAATCTCATTTAGTAGGTGTGAGATGGGGTCTAGGAATTTACCTTTTTAAAGAAACAGTCCAGAGAATATGGACAAAGACCCTGATATTATATTTTGAAAACCTTTGATCTAGGGAGACATGCTATTAATGGAAATGCAATGTGATGTTTTATAAAAAAGTTATAGAAGGGAATGATACTGAGACAGGAGGGAAGGGGGCATGTGAACTGTCCTGGAAGTATGGGCAGGATTTTTTTCAGGACCTAAAAGGTAAAAGTAAAAAAATTTTTTAACAATAATTTTTTTAATTAAGCCCATTTTTATAAATGGTTACAGAAGGCACTACTTTATTCACTTTAAGAACCTGTAGAAAACTTTGTGGAACTATTCTGGATTGGTATCTGGCACTACAATTCATTAGCTTTGTGATCTTGGGCAAGTTACTTCCCAGCGTCCATTTCTTCACTTACAAAAACACGTATCTGTAATACCTACTAATATCTTACTTATGAGAATGACATAAGGAATGCAAGATGCTTAGCTGACCTAGGCACCTAACACTGTAGGAATTCACCTTCTCTAGATCTTGCCCAAAGCAGCAGAGGCCTGTTTTCGGGGAATCCAGACTTTAAAAACTGACGTGACTACAATAACACGAAGTGCTGAGTTGTAAGTTATGAAGTGACACATATAAAATCCAAGTGGGAAAGACAATGTTATTGACAAGCCACCTAGGCTGCCATCACCGAACTAGGATAAAAGAGCGTTAGAATGGGAGGCCACAAATTTAGGTGTCTCAGGAAAAATTTTTAACCTTTGTAGTTGCAAAAAACCTGGAACTCTTATCTTGCTATCGTGCTTTATGTCAGAGGGTATTTACAATTAAGGAGTGGGGAAGTGGCTTACAGGACCTTGACTCTGGGAGGTTCTCCAAAATACTCCAGCCTCGAAAGCAAGCTCTTAAAAAGTTAACCCACCATAAGCAGATAGCACTTTTGTCTGGGGGAACTTAATAAAATGGCGTTTGCTGGAGTCTCACGAAAACCTTGCAAACTGGTCAGCATTAACTGATTGTGTGAGCGCCCTCGCCAGATCTCGTTTCGCCTGCCCCCACAGGGCTTAGACCACATTCAGAGGCGTCCGCCTGCCTGCCTGTCTGCCTGCCCACCCGGGAGGGGTGAGACTTGAGAGGTACTTTTAAGAGTGATTAAATGAAGACTCAAACGAGCCCTGGTGGTGAGGCCGAACTGCGCGCCGAATGGCTCAGCCTGGACACTTGTTGAGCCGCAGGACTCCAGGGAAGCGTTGCCACCTAACCACTGTAAAGACAGCCCCTGAGGAGGGCCAAAATGGCGACGGGCTCCTCTTGGCACAGCCCTGTTCCCTCCCTGACGACGGGCGGCTCTAGTAACGCCCATTGGCCAAGTTGGAGGCGGTGCCTGGCTTCCCCCGCCGCCTCATTGGGCTGAGTAACTGAGGGAGACGCCAGTTCTCCTCTGCCCACTCTAAGTTCCCGCCCTCAGAATGCACAGGGCGTTTAATTGGCTTTTAGTTCACGTCAATTTACGTCCTAGCCTGTCTCTTTTCAGTGTTAATCCAATCATAAATTTCCTGGCTGCCCGCCTGATTTCTGATTGGTTTTGATCGGCTTCATCCTATCCCATTCCTGTCTACTTCTTACCTCCTCCCACCAGTACTTTGCCCAGGTACGTCCAGGGTTCTGGTTGGTCGTTGTTCTGTCACTCCAATAAAAGCTCTTCCTATCCCTACTACTCAGGGAGCCCGCCTGGCAGTTGACTGGTTTCTTTCCGAAGCCTATCATCTCTAGTTCCCGCCCATCTTCACTTCCTGCGTGTTTCATTGGTCTTTAAAACTGAGAGGGCGCTCTTTCAGGGCGGACACCACGCACGCAACTTTGTCTTACACGCCTTAGAGAGCAACTGAGTCTTTCCATTGGGTCATCTGGTCGTCTTTCTTCTGCAAATCCCTCCTTTCTCCCTCCCTCATTGGGCGGGGCAGCAGTGAAGGGGCGGGGCCTAGGCTGGGCTTGTGGCGCTCTGCTCCCTCCTCCTTACCCCCCCCCTCCCTGTCCGGTCCGGGTTCGCTTGCCTCGTCAGCGTCCGCGTTTTTTCCTGGCCCCCCCCAACCCCCCCCGGCCAGGACCCCCCTTGAGCTCATCCCTCAGCTGCCACCATGAGCGGTAAGGATGAGTCCACTCCA